ACTGACTGGGTGAGGAGCTGAACGGGGCATAATTTTCGATAGTTTTGGATAATTTCGATAGCATCAGTAGCATACAAGCAGGATGATACTGCTGGGATTTCTCCAATATAGGAGATGAAGTCAAGTCATTCCTGAGTCTTCTCCAAATGGTCCTGTAAAAACGGCTTGTGATATTTTAGATAGCAGAAAATTCAGCATAAGCAATAAATACGCAACATGAGGCGACCATTTCAAAGACAGAACAGCAAAAACCCAGAGATCAGCTTTACAATGATTAGTCACAGAAGCACAACACACCCTTGGGCCAAACCTTTACATTTTACAAGCTTATCCCAGAACTCTGCTCAGAGAGTGTGTTTACTATCTAAACCCTTTGTTTTACAACTCATGGGAAGTTTGCTGACAATTTAAAAATAAATATTTGTAATTTTATATTAGTAACTTTTTTTCAGAAAAAAAAAACCTTGCTGATTTACATTTACGACCATAAAAAAAATAATTAACAAGAAATATTTGCTGCAAACCAGGATGGAAATTTTACCAGATGCAGGCTCAGTGGATAGCTCAATGCATAATTACTCCTGGACAGATGAACAGCAAAAAGGTATTATTATCGAATTCTGATCATACCCCTTCCCTGTTCTTAGAGCTAGAAGCCTGTATGGTAACGGGGACAGGTGCAGAAAAGTCCGTGATCCAAGAAATAATCTTATATAGCTCCACATGCATGGCATACTGCACCAAGAATAAACTCCCAAAGAGGAGAGATGTCATATTTGGGACGGAAAATAGACAGGTTTGTGTATTCCAGAAAGTTCCTACGTGTATCAGCATTGCTTCATGTTTCCTGCTAGAGGTACCTCTGACAAACATTGATCTATTTGATTGCAATATTCCAGCTGGAGATAGGGGGTTTGGGTGTTCTTGTTTTAAGTTGTCAGATGAAGGGTTCCAGCTGTTTAAGTCTCAGCATAATAAATTGTCTTCTCAAGGTTAAAAAATATTCTGACAATCTTTTATGAAACAGTAGCTCTTGTCCTTCAGAGTTCAGACTAAAAATCTGGCAAGGAACTGCTATTGCATCAAGTACTTGGTTTTGATTTACCTGTGAAATCCAAGTAATCTAAATTTGGGACTGAACTTAAACCCCTGAGCAACCACTTTGCATCACTTCAGTAGAGACTCGATGTAGTAAAGTTTCCATGCAGTCAATCCACAGCTTACAAAGCTATTCTTGGAATTTCTTTTGGAAGCCCAGCATCACCCACAGCTAGTGAAACCAGAACACCTCAGCTGCGCTCTCATGGCTGTGCTGCCTGGATCACACTCAGGTGGAGCAAAGGAATCGCCAAATTCAGAGAAGAGTTAAAATCAGGTGGAAAATAGTAGAGTAAAAGTGTGTGGAGGTTGGGCTGGTAGGCCAGAGGGAAAATGATGGACAAGGCTGTCCTAGCAAGGAGGCTTGAAACAGGAACCAGTAAAGGCAATTAATCAGGGGGGCACCAAAAAAAACCCCCAAAACTCTGATTTGGAAGAGGATGAAGACGAAGACAGAGATCAGATGGGAAACTAGGGGAGTCAGTACCTGTTTCAACAGAGACTGCACTTGGAAGTAAGAGTGACAAGGCAGAGCTGACACCCAGGCAGGCAGACTCTGTAAGAGCCAGCAGAACTGGGGCTGTTCAGGCAAAAAGAGAAATGGGAAACACCTCAAAGCCTAAAGATAAAAAAACCAAAAACCCAACAAATCCCAAACTAATAAAAACAAGGGAATATTAAGTATTCTTGACTCAGTGAGAAGGAAAAGCATTCTTGCTAAGTAGGCTAGAGTCTTTGTTCAAAAAGCCAGAAACGAGCTCGTCATTCTGGTCATTAATTAAAACCACCACCACCACAGTGTAAGAACTCAGCCTGGAACAGGAAAAGTACAGCCTAGAAAGTGGAATAAATTACAGGTCCTCAGATTCTCCAAGTCTGATGGACTTCACTCCAGAATACCTAAAGGCCTCGTTAAAGCCGCCTCAGGACTGTTTATGGCTGAGAGCTGATGGTCACATCACAGAAGACAGGAAAAAAGGCAAATAAAATGCTTGTCAAAAGGGGATGAGCTGGAAAAAAATTGAGAGAAAGCATCTGCTTGGCTTAACTTTGATTTGACCTTGTCTATTGTTGACGAGTCCACGTTTTTAAGCAGTCTGTTAACTTACAGTTGCTTATGACCAGTTCATTTGATTATTTACATTCATTCACTTTGCACATTTTCTGTACTTCACTGTATGAAGATCTTCCAAGCTCAAACACTTCATATATTCCTATATGGTAGTTGGAAAATATTAATTCTGGGAGCACCTTCTGTCATTCCTCATTACTCCGAGTGCTTCCAGTGTCAGGTGTGAGAAGTGGGGACAGCAGAAGGCTGACAGTGGATCCCCAAGCTCGCTCAGCCAGCACACAGGTCACAGAATCATCTCAGTTGGAAAAGCCCTTGGAGATCCTCCAGCCCAACCACGAGCCTCACACGGACCGTTCCCAACTCCCCCAGATCCCTCAGGTCACTTCAGCAGGCACGAGGCACAGGCAGCCCATCTCACACCGCACTAATCACTGTTTTGCCAAGAAGGCAGGCCAAGCTTGTACTTACAGCAGGATACATCTCTGCGAGAGCAAGTACAGGCACTGTGTCAATTTGCATATGAAAAAATAATAAATCTCATTCTGATCTGCGATGATGACAATCTGGTTTATTATCTGAAGCCAGAGGTCTAAGGCAGCAATCTTCATTTACACTTGGGGACTGGCACAGAGTCAGCCCTGCCACGACTGGAAGCTCTTGGAGATTCCAGTATGTTGAGGACACAAACTTTAAGTTACTAAAAAAAAAAAAATAAAAAAAAAAAATCAAAGCATGCGCATTTTTCAGACTTATTAATTGGCTAGACTTGGCAAGATTTTCAGAAGGAACAACATAAAGCACATCCCTGATGCAAATACATGCAAAACAAAACTTAGTTCCCTTCTCCAAAGTGTGGGAAACAAAGTTGTTCAGTGACAGGTCAGGAGTACTGAAAAAAGGCAAGATCTCATTTTTTTCCCCCCTAAGTTTCTTCTTAGAAATATAGGATTCATGTTGTCCCCGTTTCCCAAAATTTCTGGGCAAAGGAACCCACCTGAATGCAAACACCCAGATGAAAAACTCGGGCAGAAGTCAGAATGGGGAAATGCGTGTGCTACAACTGGAAGTACGGGACACGCGGCAGCAGGGACAGCCACAGCCCGTCACCCCGCAGGGCACACGGCTACCCCGGCCCTGAGCTCGCCAGCCCAGGCCCTCTCCAGCCACGGCCTGAAGAGTCTTTCTCTGGATGTGGTTCCAGTTCCCACAGTTGGCCCCGCAGACCCTGGCAGGGCTGAATAGCCCCGTCAGCAGGAATCTGGCCCTTTGCGTGTTTGGACTTGCACCTTAGCACTAAATAAGGCCAAACCAGAAGCAGCATCAGCATACAAAAACCCTCTCAGGCAAATTCATAAATAAATACATTTGCATATTCTCTCACCATTTGTAAATGGCTGCAAAGTCTTACATGATTCCCTCCCCCACAGGCTTTAGAATCCCTTCCTTTCTGTCACCTCCCCTATTGATTCAACCTGGATTTCTGGTTTCTAAAGGCACGCTCAAATTGTTTTTCAGGTTTCAACTTCACTATTTTCTCATTAATTTTCACACTGAAGTGCAGACCATTTGGAGACGTTTCCCACTTTTTAAATCCATCACTTCACGATTATTTTGCAAAACACTGAACGCTCCAGAGTTAAGGTTGGAATTCTTTAGAATACGCTTCTTCATTGAAAGACATTCAGTTTCTACCTGACACTGCTTCATTCTTGACATTAAATGCTGCTAAGGAGACCTTTCTTTCTGAGAGAAGAATCCTATTAACAGGTCTCTGCACAACAGGAAAAGAAGGGTCCAGGCAATTACTGCCCCTGTGATTTTTGCAGGAAATAATTATGTAGCTCAGGTCTTTAACAGAAAAGATTAAAACCCCTCCTGCTGAAGACAGAATAAATAAGCCACATTGTTACACATCAAAACTGTTTTACTACTGTAATTCCACAATATTCCAAACTATGAAAGAATGCTTTTCACCACTGAAATACCACCAGGTTAGATAAAATCATTTTTAAAAACTCTTCTGTTCTTGGCAGACAAGAGCACGTTACCTGGCAGCGGGCCCGTGACGCCTCGCACACGACTAGAAGGAAAATACCGAAAAACCACAACCCGACCCCCCTCGCCCCTAACCGTTCCCCCCAGGAGCCGGGGCGGCCGCGCACCAGCCGCACAAGCTCCGCGGTAACGCCAGCAGCCGCCGAGGGGCTCAGGGAGGTGCCGAGGGCTCCCCTGCTCCCCCCCAAACCCTCCTCTCCCCGCTCACCCACACCCCCACAC